GTTATTCTTACAAGCTATACCAGGCACAGGGTACTCAATGGGTCTCAGAGATGCACACTGAGCTGGAGAAAGGGCAGGCATTGATGTCAGGGTGGCAGATGGTTCTAATGCCCAGGGGGAGTTTAAGAATTAGTGAACACCTAGTTCTTCACAAGGACAGGGTAACATTTGAGCAATGGTATTTCATTAGGAACTGATTTTGTCGTTGTGCTACATAAGAAAGATGGCATACAGTGATGAAACATGAAATACTTATTCCTCATATGTCATGCTCTGCTAAAAGAAACTTTGGGGCTCTCTCTGCCCCCTTACTCCCTCCTCCCTGAAGGAGGCAGAGTGACTTATCCCACTGGTGAATTTAGGGGAAGCAACGGAGAATGAAAATGACTGGCCCTTCTCTTTCTCATCAGCCTGTCTATAGGACAGACCACTTTTATGTGCTGAGGACACAGGGCCCTAAAGTTAGACCTGGGGATCCTTCTCTCATTGTTTCCAAGATGAAGCCAAGTGACTGTGGGGCTGGGTTTTGGGGTGAGGGTGCTTGTCCTCCAGGATAGACTGACTCCCACTTTCCTGCAGGGGGGCTGCCCCAGGGTCCCAGCTGGACACGGAGGTCCCAAGTGTTAGCTTGACGGGGGCTGCAGATCCCTGCCATGATCCCAGTCCTACTTTATGAACCTCGAAACTGACACTGTGAGTTCCATCTGTCCGACTCCTGTATCTCATTTCTCAACTGGTTCCCAGTTTGATGTGAGGAGAGAGGCATCGGTAATTATCTTCCCTACACCTCCTAATAGCAGATTTCAACAGAAAAAGAACAATAAACACGAAACAGTAGCAATGTTTCATGTATGCTCCTTTAAATATCCATTTGATGAAAGCCAAGGCATAAGTTAAGTCATAGGTCTGTAAGGAAATATCATGCGGAAAGCGGTAAAACATTTTTCAGGATTGCACAGGTGGCTCTAAAGCTGAAGCATAGCAATCCAGAGTTACAACCAATAAGATCGGGCCGTGTGTGTGGTGTTTGTGCGTAAACTGTACGTGCCAAGCACTTGTTAGGTTCAGGGACCATGAGACTGCTTTCTTCAGCTCATTTTGTGGGCCAAATCAAAAACATGTCGGGATTTTTCCTAAACAGACTTTAGCTTCATATGCGTACAGGTGTTTGGAGGTTCTGCAATCTAATGGTGGCATCTGGTTGTAGGCAAGGCAGATGTGTAAGAGCAGAAGAACAGTGAAGTACAAACACTTTGACAAATGTGGAATAATTAACAATATTTTTAAGGTGTTTGTAGGCCATTTTCAAAGATTGCTAGTATCTACTACTGAGAAGACCCTAGTCAGTGATTTGAGAGAACTAAGAGAGAAACTGCTGAAGCAGAGAAGCAGGCATTGGAACGCAGAATGTATTTTAATAACACTGCCATTTCTCGACGGTGAATATGAACACAACCAGGATGGCAAAACACCCTTGATAATATAAAGTAACTGACAAACTCAAGGTGGGATGTGACTTTTTCTGGTGATGGGATATTCAAATAGTGTGCAGTGTGACTAGCCACAATTTTTCAGTTCAAAAGAATAAATGGTGGAATGAGAGACAGGCTAATAATATGCAACAGAAAATGAGATGTTATTTGCACAATTTATTTTTGATGTTTGATATCCGTGATTCTGTGTCCTGTAAGTAAACACAGTCTTTCCATTTTACTCTAAAGAGCTCAAGAGTGTTGACTTCTTTGACATAGAATTCAAAGTGCCCCAAACTTTTATTTCTGAATAAACTACATTTTAAATGTTTAAAGAATCTGAAGAAGAGATTTGATTTATGAGCAAGATGTGTGGAGGGAAAATCCTTTTCCCATCCATAGTTAAGAAACTGGAGAAGGGTATTCATTTGTCACAGGAAAATCTCCCCAAGAAATGTACCTTAGGCTGTAATTAACACTGAGAGTGGGCTTCTTTAAAAATTCCATCTGAATTCTCCTTCCTGACTTCATTAGTCTTCAGAGAGTGTCTTGGATCAATGTCACTCAGTGAGGGGAACAGGCCAGTGTCTGGCCAGCCTGACACTGGGCGTGCACGGTCTGGGTGCGTGGGCCCACCCTGCTCAGGAAGTCCTCCCCGCGCCCCCACGGCACACACAAATCAGCTGTGCTCCCCACGCCGGGCAAGGGCACAGCCGCGTGTCTCGGCACAGGCATATCTACACACGGTTCCATACTGAAAACTGGTTCATTCCCCAGCTACCACTTCCCAGTTCTGTTCCTGTTTTCAGAACCTTTCTTTTCCTTTTCTCAGCCTAAACCGCGTCTCCTAACTTCTATGAGTCTGTTTCTTTTCTTTTTATAAATTTAAGGGGAACAAGTGCAGTTTTGTTACATGGGTATATTGCGTGGTGGTGGAGTCTGGGCTTTCAATGTACTCCTCACCCGAACAGTGTACATCATACCCAATAGGGAAGTGTTCGTCCCCCACCCACCTCCCATGGTCCCACCTTTTGTAGTCTCCGACACTATTATTCCACTCTCTACGTCCACGCATACCCACTGTTTAGCTCCTACGCGTAAGTGAGAACATGTACATTTGACCTTCTGTTTGAGTTATTTCACTTGGGATGATGACCTCCAGTCCCATTCATGCTGCCGCAAAAGCCATGATGTGAGTCTTTTCAGAGCGGGGCCCATCCTCCTTTGCACTCACCGTACCCCGTTTTTCACTTCATCTCCCTCTCCTGTGCGGCAGCAGCTACGTTCTTCCCTGGGGGCCCTCTGCACTCCTTCTGCACATAGGGCCCACTGCTTGCCCTGACACTCCGTCCCTCTGCCATAACCTCCCATGTGCAATCCGTAGAGGGTAGCTTTTCCTTCAGACTGTGAGGATAAAAGAACAGCCTCCCTAAGACGCCCTACAGTCTTGGTTATTAGATCAATCTCTATCTTTATTTTCAGTCCCAGAACTCTTCATTTCCACGTGCCCCTCAAGTAATGCAGATCAAATCAAGGGAAGGCAGGACACAAAGCTCCAAGACATGTCACGAAGTGACGGGGATGAGCCAGTCATTATGGCAAATGCTCGCTGCTCCTTACAGTGTTTTTTTGTTTTTGTTTTTTTTTTGAGACAGAGTCTCACTCTTTTGCCCGGGCTAGAGTGCCTTGGCTTCAGCCTAGCTCACAGCAACCTCAAACTCCTAGGCTCAAGCAATCCTCCTACCTCAGCCTCCTGGGTAGCTGGGACCACAGGCACGGACCACTGTTCCTGGCTAATTTCTTTCTATTTATAGTAGAGGCGGAGTCTTGCTCTTGCTCAGGCTGGTCTTGAACTCCTGAGCTCAAGCAATCTTCCCGCCTCAGCCTCCCAGAGTGCTAGGATTACAGGCGTGAGTCACCATGCCCGGCCCCTTAGAGTGTTTTTAATTGGTCAGAATTTTGAAACCTGGCTTAGACAGAGACCATCTTCATGGATCATTTCACCTCCAATCATCATACAGTTCTTACATCTGAGAACTTTCTCCTTAGAATTACCAGCTAAGTTTGATCCCAAGAGCAAGTTCCGCTCAAATATGACCTACTTAGCCTGAACCCCGGCTTGCTAAGACCACATGCTGGAGGAAAGGCCACCTGCCTGGCTTCTTGGCTCTCCACCTTGACGAATCCTAGGTTACCCTGGAAATGAGGCAGAAAGTTGCAAAGAGCCTGACCAGCAAAGCAGAAAGGAGGCCAAAGAACGCCCAACCTCATTTATAAAACAAACAACACTATTTGATCCCATATAATGAAATAGTTAGAAACTGAGTAACAACTCGGGAAGGAATATTCATGATTGTATACTCTTTCTAAAAACAAGTCCTCTACATTGTAAAACGCCAGCCACTAATTAAAATTAAAAAATACTCAAACTAAAGATGTTTACATCTAGATAGCATTTACAAACAGGTCTCTTTGGGGAATGTAATTCTTCCTTGGACCTGTATTTTGTGTAGTTCCGACTCTTCGCTCTCATGATTCTGACATATTGCAGGATTAGGCCCTGGGTTTGTTTCATCACCAGTCTTTTTCTTTTTCATGCCAATTACATTTTAATGTTACCATTGTATTTTAAACGTATATAACCATCTGATTTGCTTTCCCATAAAGTTTTATTATCATCATTCTTTTTAAAAGAAATACACTTTCAATAAGACAGAGTTTTACAAACAGAAATGAGAACTGGGAGACAAAGAGTGTTTTGACAGTAAGCCTAGTGTTATGCATTTAAAAAAAACCCTAAAAAATAAGCTTAAGTGGCATTTTACATTTTATGTTTTCAGTGGTTAATAGCTTTAATAATTACTTTACCCAGAACTCCGAAATTGTCCACAAACACCATAGGCACAATTAGCTCATTTACAAAAGGATCTTTTTGATAAAGATGACTGGCTAAGAAATAAAGCAAGAAAGACAACACCCAAAATGTGTACCCCAAACCCATTCTGGAGGCATTTAGCGAACAAGTCTCTCTTGAATCCTAAGCAGGCTGGTCATGCTTGGCCCAGAATTCCTGCATAATGATGATTTGCCTCTGAAATTTCCCATTAGGTTTTTCAATGTTCCATTTATACCTATGATAGTCCAGAACCAACAATCCAGAAGCATTTTTCAGGTAATTAAGAGTATATTTTCAAACACAGTCTATGCACAATACAATGATTCAGGCATATTCGAGGGAAATGAAAGCTAAACAAAACCTTGCTGAAACGTAATTGACGGTCTGCATGAAATCAACAGGACCACAGAAATGTTCAGTACTGGATCTCATTTTCTGTTAAGTACTTTCATAAAGGTAATTGAACACTAAAAGTACTTAGTATAAAACCAGAATTTGAATTCTTGACTTTTGTTCTGAAAATTTTTACTTTTAATATTTTAAACATGGAAAAAAATTGTGTTAAATTCTTCCACATACTATTTGTCATCCATTCATATATATATATATATTCATTCATGTATTTTTCTACTTTACTTCTTTACCAAAAATTGTGTGATGTCTGATCCATGCTTTGATGCCAGAGATTGTCTTCTCACCTGGCTTCTTTCCTTGGCTTGTCTGGCAGTTCTCTAAAAATAAAAAAATATGCATCGGTACATGTTAGGAAAAAAGCACTGGCTATAGAAGCTCAAAAACTCTTTGTATTGTCAGTCTGGAAAAATCTACATTCTGACTACACCCATTTACCAGTGCTTGGCCACTAGGGGGGTTCCCAAACCACGAGGCAGAGTACCCCAGCAGCTCTGGAAAGTGCCCTGAGGTCCTAGGTTCACTAGGACTACACTGGGAGGAGAAAACACACAACTTTGGGGGATGTCTTACTACCCAGTGAGACTCTCATCTGGGGACTGGGGAGGCCATGATTCTGCTCCTGCAGTGAGCTCATAAGGCATCTTGGGATTTCCCAGAGTGCAGTGGGTGGAAGGCCCATTTACCTCCTATTCTCTGGGCCCAGAAACCATTCCCAACTAAATAGACAAGTGGATGTAGAAAATAAAATGAGACCGAGAGGATATGGAAAATAAAATGAGACACACCAGAACTGGATTCTTCTGTTAATCCTACAAATAAAATTTTTCACAAGGCTCTGAAAAAGTAATTACAGAAGGTGCTGCATTTTCTTTCACTATTTCTTAATTCTCTTATAGGTCTTAAATTTACTAATAATTTGCACAGCTGAGAAATCAGGTGATTTTTTTCCTCCAATTGAAGTCCATGTGCATGTGAGGTGATCCACGTGGAAAAGGCTGGGAGAAAAAAGAAGGCTAAAACTGAAACAAAAACCAAAACCTGCCTACATGACATTATGTAAAAATGTAAAAATGTTTGCAAAGAAATTGTGGAATCTAAAATATTAAAAGAAGGCTAATAAAGAGCTCATACAATATGAACATTGGCAAAGGATCCAAATAGTTCTCAAAAGTATAAACATAATTAATTAGCATGTTTTAAAAACATCAGTGTCTTTAGTAAACAAAACAATAGCAGCCCATTCTTCTCCCACTGTATCAGTACCCACTGGTGCAGTTAAATGGGCACTCTGTTCACTGGTGGGCATAAATGAGTAAAATCCTTTGGAAAACAGTTTGGTGGTCAATTCCTATAACTGTCAAAAACATTAAAATACTTTTGACTCAGTGATTTTTTTTTTATATCTGAGAACCTATCTTAAAGACTGACCTTAAAAAGTAGGAAACGTTTTGTTTACAAAAAATGTGCTTGGTGGTACTATGAATAAAAGCAAAACAATTTAAACAACTTAACTATTCATCAGTACGGGAATGGCTAAGTAAACTACAGTAGTGATCGACTCAATAGAATACTGTATTATGCAGCCATTTTAGATAAATACATCACGAATGGTTGGAGAACATCCAAAAATGCTTAAATCTTGTGACAAGTAGGAAAAAAGTTGGATATAAAGTTGCATGTTAAATGTATGCTTCTTTCTAAGATTTTCTCAACAGGTAGATCCTACTACCTTTTGCTGGACTACCTGTTAAAAATTCATCCTGGTAGATAAACAATACTATGTCAGTTTTTCCCCTTCATTTTATGCAACAGGTAATTAATTGCTCAAAGATGTGCCAAGGTATTATAAATAGGTTTCATGCTTTGGCCAGTAATGCAGTCTTTGCACGTTGAGCTGAGTTGGTCCTAGATATAACTTATCAACGTCCTCAGATATTTCAGGACACCCTTAGCCATAGGCAAACATGTGTCAATGCCCCAATTCACCAAACTTCCAGTTTGAGGGTCTGGGTCTCTTCAAGACTGTGCAATATGTAAGTTGTATTCATTTTTATTTTCCTAGGTAGTGGTAAAAATTTCTTGGTCCTAGAATGAATTGAAAGGGAAGCAGCTTCTCTTGTATCCATGATTGAGAACTTACATAGGCCTTGAGAGGAAAGGCAAGTGTGAGGTGATGAAAGGAATGAAATGCTCTCAAATCTCAGACCAGGGATATAGATTCATCCACATAATCTTCCAGACGTGTATGCACAATTTCCCATTTGATTTCTCAGGATGGAGGCAAAGGTGTCTGTGCGCTTCACTGACCTCTTTGTGACAGACTGTGCAGAGAGTCTGCAGGTTGTCCAGGGAGCACTGTCCCCCTCCACTGTATACTGGCTTGATGTGATCCACCTGCCAGAAATGTCCTTCTGCTGGGTTTCTTATCATTTCATTTAGCTGCAGTAAGAACACGAGATCAGCAATTTTCAACATACATGTGGGAACTGTTGGTTTTGCATTGTGCAATCATGTTTATACAGCAAAATCATGGGGGAAAATGCATTAGGATGGCTTTTTACAGCTTTTATTGTGATTCGAAAAAAACCCTCTAGGTTAGCAATTTGAAAGTAATAAAATGTGTTTCTGAAAACGTTTTTTTCCCCTTACCTAATCTATTTTGAAAAAATTACAAGCAAGTATAAAATATCAAGACCTCTGACAGTTTGGGGAAAATTGGCTTTTTGTACCTTTAAGTTAGTTTATATATTCACTAAACCAAAACTGAGAAAAGAATAAGAACAGATTAAAAATTAAAAACTTCTCAATATTACTGACTCAAACAATTTTTAATTGTTCACCTAAATGCATGTGTCACTCTATCAATGGCAGTTTAATATCAATAGCTATCACCTGTAACTTTTACTCTAGAGAACTTTCCAAGTTACATGGACTAGGATGAGATTTCTAGAATAAGCCTCTATAATTTGCATATTTGAAATAAATAAAGATGTCCATTTAAAGTAGCTACTATTTAGCCCAGTCCATATACACATACTTTATATTTAACCAATGATGACTTACATTAAAATGGGATGTATTTTAACATTTTACCTGAGATAGAGTTTTACTACTCATACCATGGCAGTGCAGTTGTTTAAATATCACAAAGATGAGTATGACACTTGTTTTTATTTCCTTGGTCTTGGACAATGAAGAAATTATAATCAACTTCATGGACACTGGCCATGGGAACCCATGAATATTTCTAAAGCACTTTTAAGAAAACTTGTCAGGCACAGTGACCTGATCATCAGTGCTGGCCCATGAGGAGTCACAAGAGGCAGCAAGTTGGAGCAGTAAACTTTGTCCAGCTGACCGTTGTGACTGTCTGCCTTACTTTCTGTGCTGAGCCTCTCAACTTCCATTAGAAGATACATACCCAACTTTGTTTCTGAGGCTGACTTTGTTAGAAGCCACTATAAATGGCAGTTTTGTGCATCACGCAAATGGCACATTCTTAGGAAAAAATCCAGTTTAGTTTTGCCTTTTGGAACCAGTTCTATCTCTCTGAGCAGCCTCCACTCTGACAAACTCAATGATCCAGACGGTGCTTCTTTAGTTTTTCCTAGCAATTGCACAGCAAATCACTCGAGGCCACTCTTCAATATCTTAAACTCATCTCTTGAAATAATCACTCCCTTTCTGATGGATCCTCCCCAGTCTGAGCCCTGCGGTGCTCCTCATCCTAGAGTATTTTTGTTTTTGATGGCTGCTATGTTACTTCTGCGTTTCTGGACAGGCTGCTTTCAAGATGACCTTGAGTCATTTCACTGTGTGTCTTCTGGAAGCCTTCACACTGAGGCAGCAGTAGCTGGAGTCTGACTGACATCCCTGGGATGAATACAATATGTTCCTCACCAATTAGACCAAAGGATCTTTCAGGAACTCTGGATATCATTACAGAAATAGTGTATTTCCCTAGCTCTCAAAAGCATGTTAATTCATCTTTGCAGAGATGCTTATTAATTAATTCTATCATAATTCAGCAATACTGTACTAGGTAAATAAAAATATATAAGTTGTCTAATTAGCAGGAATTCATCTGATATTTTAGTGGGCAAAAAGTGGCTCAGGAGTGATCCTTTTAAAATTATGCACACTATAAAATTACACATTTTGCTTTAGTTTGAAATTTAGAATTGTTTAGATAATAAGATTAGAAATCTGATTGAGTTTTAGAAATCAAGTATTTATTATAGTGTTCTATAAGTAAAATTTTGTCATAAACTGGTCTATTATATTTTACAATGGAATAAATATATAAATCTCTCTATATATTTCCTTCTCATTGAACTCCATTTTTGGGGTTATCTGTTTCCCCCTTGTTATTCAATATTAGCATCATAAAAATTAGCACTACCAGATCACAGGTGCCTCTTGGTGCACTGCATCACCTTTCAGATCTTTTTCCAAAATAACTGGATCAGAATCTAATTAAGCCTCTAGATTTTATAATCATTATTCAGGAAATTGTGGGGATAGAAGAACATGTCAAACAACATGCTGAGGATACAGGGAGACAAATCCAGAATGTAAAAAATCCTATAGGCATATGATCCAGTTTCTTCAACAGTCATTGGTGTCAAAAAAGGAATACAGTGTTATTACAGATTAAATGAAGCACAAGAGGCATTATGATCAAATACAATATATGGGTCATATTTTGACCCTAATTTGAACAAAGCAACTGGAAAAAAAACATTTTTGAGACAATATGGGGAACCAAATATGGACTTATCATAATTAAGGAATTATAATTATGTTGGGTATGGTAACTCGAAGAAAGGAAAGAAGGAAAGAAAGAGGAAGAGAGGGAGAGGGAAGGAAGGAAAGAAGGAAGGAAGGAAGTCTTTACCTGTGAGAGATATAATGAAAGTATTTAAGGAGGAAATGAAGTGTTATCTGGAATATGAATGTTGTCTTTAAAATATTCCAGGAGAAAAAAAGAAGTGAGTCAAAGGACAAATGAAAACAAATAGCAAAATGATGAAAACTGTTAAAGCTGGGTGATGGGTATATGGAGTCACTATTCTCCCTACTTTTGCATATATATTTGAAAATTCCCATGTTAAAAAGTTAAAATATAAAGTTAGTGAGTCAATATTCATCACTTAGTACAATGCTGCCTTCTACCTGTCACATGATTATAATTTACCTGTTCTAGTGGAAGCTTTGTAGTCCAGGTAGCATCCAGAAGATTCTTCCTCTGACTTTTAGGGGCATCTCTCACACGTAAAAAGAGTTCTTGT